TCACTGCTTGACTCAGATCAGCCCGGGCCCCCACAGTCCTGGGTAGGCCAGGATTTGAAGGACGCTGGCGGTCGTGACTTTTATGCAATGCTGCTGGAGCACATCTTGGAAACTCCAGAGCTGGTCAAGGCGTTTACCATGCCTAATGCACCCGGCAAGTTCAGCGTGTGGCGGTGGATCTGCTCCCTGCAAGAGTTTAATCGCCTGGCATTGACCTATACACACCTGTCAACTGGTACGTCTGATCGTTTGAGTGGTGTTGTTTGTTGCAAGCAAATTTTACATGCGCAGAGTCTCACCATACACCCGTGCATAGCCCCACCCATGCATGCGACGGTATACACGAGCCTTTTTTATCGTGACTCCTCCGCCAGCCCCAGAAATGTCTTCTTCTCCGGCAACCGCTTGGCGTTTGTCGCGCAACAAGGCGAAGCTACATTGATCAGCAACCCCGAGTCGCATGCTATACACTACATGGACGAGCGGACCAGTGCAATTATGATGGCTTACCTGCTATTGTGCAAGCCATTGGAGGAGCTGTTTGCTAATTACTTGCAAGAGCGAGGCGAATTGATCGCGTCCTCGGCAATAGATTCCAATTCTTTGACGGAAGAGGAGCAAGATGAGCTCGAGGCCGGCGCGATGGAGGTCGAAGATTCGGTCGCGCCAAACATTTCCAGCCCTGCTGACGACCAGCACGCTGATCTGCGAGCGGTCAAGCGTGTCGAACTGGAGGGCACGTATGAGCTGCTATTCAATATTGTGCCGATGCAGCTCGAAAAACAGCTTCGACCAGGCCTAGTCTACCGAACCATCCAGGCCGTGACCAAGCGATTTCTTGGAACCAGCATCACTGTCAGCGCATGGCGGCACATGAGTGTGGCCTGGCTGCGCACACTGGTGATGCATGATGCCCCCGAGCTTTTAGGGGCGCTGGATGTAACTCACTTTCAAAGCCAGCGTGCAGGTCGGACGGCACGCGACGTCCAAGGCCGCACGCAGCGCGACCACAAGGTTGCGTCAAGCGAATCAGAGTATGGCCACCAATTTCTGTCCGACGAGTGGCGCAAGCTCATCCAGCTGATGTAAGAGATTCAAGAAGCTGGAGCCATACATGAACAGACCTGCGTATGACAAGTGGTTCAAAGGCACGTTGTCATTCAGTCGTCATGGTTTAGGAATGCCGCGCACATGTCCAGGTGACCGGCAAGATCAATTTTCTCTCCTTGTTGTGACACATGCGGTCGGACACGAGTTGCACTTGCTCTATCCTCGGGATTAGCAACTCGACAGCTATTCTAACGGTGCACCTGGTCTGGTCACTGTGAATGCTTCCCGACCGCAGCTGGTTCAATTGACCTCAGGACACCATCAAACCTTTCAATCTATCGCGACTCCTCCGCCAGCGCCAGAAATGTCTTCTTCTCCGGCAACTTGATTCATGCGGAGCAGGTCAAACGCTGGCGGTGCGCTGCTGATGTTCTCTGTAGCGTCGGCTGGCACTTGGATCCTCAATTGTTCAATAACCAAGACCTACAAACGCTTGGTGACCGCGTGGATGCCCTAACGTCCGCCTCTGTAGCTGCACCTTGATACTTTTTTACAAATTGAAATTTGTGGCGCTTTAGAGTGGCTTGTCGATTGCTATGCAAAAAGAAAGTAAAGTCAATGGGCAGGGCGGGCCTTGCCAACCGTCTGAAGCAGAACCGTCCAACAAGCACGGAAAAGAGCGAGAAACCGCTTCGTCTTCTTTTACCATGACAACGGATAATAGCAATAGTGTCTCGGTAGTGGTGGATGCGGCGCTGCGCGAGCTGGTGATGAGGGCGTTGAGCGGTGGTCTTGTTTTGCGAGCGATCGTATCCAGTTGAGCTTGGGTATTGTGGCAATTAAATGCAGTAGATCCGTGTCTGGTTGTCAAGGTCCTTGGTGTCTGCAAGTCAACTTGTGCGATGTCTGTGCCGGCACGAACTTGCAAAGGTTCAAAGCGCTCTCATGCCTCCTTCACATCGTCACCAAGTTGAATTTAGACGTGACTGGCCTCAAGCGCGGGTGAGTCTGCGTCGGCAGCAGCGGGAAAGCCAAAACTCAGACTGCAGAGCGCCGTCCAGGCCAAGTCTATGCAGCCATCCAGGCCGTGGCCAAGCGGTTTCTTGGAGCGAGCATCACTGACAGTGCATGTCATATGAGCGTGGCTTGGCCGCGTACACTGGTGTTGCATCATACGCCCGAGCCTTCATTGGGGGCGTTGAATGTGGCACACTCTCAAAGCCAGCATGCAGGCAGAACGGCACGCAACGTCTATGGCCGCACGCAGCTCGATCACAAGTTTGTGTTCAGTGAAGCACAGTATGGCCACCAGTTTGTGTCTGAAGAATGGCACAAGCTCATGAAGCTGGTAGATGTAGAGGATCAGATCCAAGCCGAGGCCGTGGATGGGCAGACCTGCGTGCAACAAGTGGTTCATAAACAGGTGGTCATCCAGTCGTCTCGGGTCAGAAACGTCAGCACACAGGTGCAAGCGACCGTGGGCACGCAAACAGATCCCGAGGTTGAAGCCTGCCTTGATGCTGAGGATGACATTGACGATATCATTGCCGGGTTGGATTTAGACGAAGCCGAGGCAGCCGAATCGTCCATGCCAGTTGCCGTGCCGCGAGCCGTGAAAGAGGCTGCGTCGACGGCCTTGCAGCAAGAGCCAAGCCAGCACAATGACCAAACGCAACAACAAGAGTATGAGGATCAGATTTGGCTAGCTCAATGTGTGCGGCAAGCGTGGAAGACAACATTTCGCGACTGGGATCAGTATCGATTGGCACAGGCTATGACTCGGCACGAGGCCCAGGACGGCTGGCTGTTGGCCGTGGCCCCGACTGGCATGGGCAAGACGCTGTGTACACTCGCTCACCTCCAGCCACGCAGGGTCGTGGTGTGGGTAGTCCCGCTTCGTGAGCTTGCCAGAGACTTGTGCCGCCGCTTCAAGCAGGCTGACATTGTATCGCAGTGGGCTAAGAATGATGGCCGTGACATGCAAGTCAACGTTCAAGTGATTGTCATGACGGTTGACTTTTTGGTTGGCCATGGGATGAGGTGGGTGCAAACACTCGTGCAGCAGAGCGTCTGGCCATGCTGGTGATGGACGAGGTTCACACAATGCTCGTGGACACCAGCTATCGAGGGAGTCTTGTTCGCTGCCCAAGCCGGCTGGACCATCTTCGCCAAGACCCATCTGTCAAGTGTGTGGGCCTGACTGGCACGCTTTGCCCCAAAGATGAGAGGGCTCTGCTCCAACAGCTGGATTGCACGGAGGACGCTTTGTACCAGACCTTTCGTATGCCAACCATGCGAACCGATCTTCGGCTAGCGGTGCAACAAGGAACAACAAAGGCATTTGAGATGTTTGTGGAACGCCACTACGGCCTGTTGGAGCAAGAGGGCCGCGTGGATCGCATGCTGATTTTTTGTGACACGAAGAAGCAGGTTGAGGCATTGTCGACTCAATTGGCACGCACGTTGGGTCACGAGCAGTCGCTGTCCGTGGATGCTGACATGTCAGCCGAAGACACACGGGCGGCTCTTGAGCAGTGGAGGAGCGGCACGCAGAGTCTGGTCTTGGTGGCCACAAGCTGCTTGGGCGCGGGCTTGGACATGCCCAACGTTCGGAAGGTGATCTGGTTTGGCAGCGGCTACAACGGCTACACCTTGTCGCAGGCCTTTGGCCGGGCTGGCCGCGACCGACGGGGTGGCGAGGCCACGCTATGGATTCCACGAGGCACAGCGGTTTCGGAAGACCTGCGGCCATTTGCAAGCATGAAGCGCTGCCTGACCTTTGAGCTTGGTTGGCTGTTGGATGGTGAGGGCCACATTTGTGCGGCCGCAGGAGCGCCGGCGTGCACCGTCTGCTCCATGATGCAACCGACCATCACAGCGCGCCATCCAAGTCGTGAAGCACATGGGGCGCCAGTATCACACGAGGGCCAGACGCAGGCCAAACGAGCGCAGTTGATGGTACCATCGGCGCCCATTCAGTCAGACGACTTTAACACGGCTCTGCTATGGATGTGCACCTACTGCTGGGCCTGCAGCTGCAGCAGAGACCGCTTGGTTGCTCACCACCAGCCTTCTAACTGCCCGGTCATAAAGGGCGCTGCTTTCG